CGATCTGGCAGCTGATATACGTCGTCATTTCGCAAATATGTTGCGTATGCGCAAGTCCATGTTTCCCTGTACGTACGTACACGAGCATGCGACATTTTCTCTGCCGGCAGAAATTGAAGAATTACCATTGCCCATACAAGAGCAACTATATGACGAGCTGTTAGATCGTGATGCGCAAAAACAATTGGAAAATCCACCACCAGCCTTAAATTGGTCGTTGGAGATAACAGCCCGCTTGGGTTCTAGATTAATGGTTTTATGGAATCGTAGTGCTGGCGATTGTTTGCTGGACTCAGCCATGCAAGCCACCTGGGGTGTGTTTGATCGTGATAATATATTGAGAAGAGCCTTGGCTGATAGTTTACATCAATGTGCGCCCATGTATGTTTTAAAGTTAAAACAATCTAACCAATTATTTATATATGCCTTTATCTTAAAGTTTCTATTCACGCTGGAAGGAATATGAAATGGTACAGGCCTCTATGCTCCACTTCACCCTGGAGGAAGCTCAGTGGCAGGAGGATTGGACCACTTTATTGTCGTTAGCCAGTCAACCAGGCGCTTCTCTAGAACAATTACACATTTTTGCTTTAGCCCACATTTTACGTAGACCTATTGTGGTTTATGGTGTTAAATATGTTAAAAGTTTTCGTGGTGAAGATATTGGTTACGCTAGATTTGAAGGTATTTTGTTGGTTCGATTTATTTATAATTTTGTTTTACATTGTTATTTATTTCTTTATAGGACTTTATTTGCCTTTGTTTTGGGATCAAAACTTTTGCATAAAATCCCCCATAGCTTTAGGTTATACACGTGGTCACTTTAGTGCCCTTGTACCCATGGAACCTTATGCTCGCATTGATTTGCGTCGTGATGAACCAGAGGATGTAACATACTTGCCGTTAATGGATTGTGAATCGAAACTATTGCCAATACATTTTTTAACTCAAGCGGAGGTAAGCTATATGAAGAGAAAATAGATAGATAGATAGATAGATAGATAGATAGATAGATAGATAGATAGATAGATAGATAGATAGATAGATAGATAGGTAGGTAGATAGATAGATAGATAGATAGATAGATAGATAGATAGATAGATAGATAGATAGATAGATAGATAGATAGATAGATAGAAGAAAAGGAATCATAAAATATCATACATTTTTTACATATTACATTTAAATTACCTTTTTAGATGGGTCGTGAGGAGGCCATTATGCGACAATGGCTAGATGTCTGTGTCACAGAGGGTGGCCTTTTGGTGGCCCAACAAAAATTACGCAAACGTCCGCTTTTAGTAGCCCAAATGCTAGAGGAATGGTTGAACCATTACCGCAGAATAGCGTAAGTATTTCCATTATTTAAGTTATTACAAAGAAATATTCGAAAAAATATAAAATTGTTCTTTTAACAGACAAGTGATTACGGCACCATTTGTAAGAAGGGCCCATCAACAAATTGGTTACTCAAGTGATGGCGATTCAGATGAAGAGTAAGTCTGCAACACAATGTTATTTTTAATTTTTTAAAAACAAATTTGCTTAAAACCAACAACATCTACAATGATATATTTGATATAAATTTAAATATTTTTAGTAGTGAATATCTTTTTAAATTTTGTTTTTTTTTTTTCGAAATAGTTAAAACTAAACTTTATTATTAAAAATATAAAAAATGCAAAATACATATAAATTAAAAAAAAAAACAAACAAACCCGTGTTATATAAATGTTACAAAACAAACAAAAAACAATTCTTTTAAAGAAAAACAAACCCCAAGAAAACACTCACTTTTTATTAGCTAAAATTTTAAATTAAAAAAAGTATAAATTTAATATAAAATTGGAATCAAAAATATTAATAAAACAAAATGCTGTGGGTGGAGTGTGAATGTGTTAAATTATAAAAATATGTATGAGAGTAATAAATATAAAAAAATCGTAGATAAAATTACAAGGGATTATATTTGAAAAAAGCAAATAAGCTAATAAATAAATAACAAAAAATAAATGTTAAACATACAAAACCCCCAACCAGCACTTTAACAATTTCTAGTGGTTATTAATTTTAGTGCATTATAACAAACAATTATTTTATTCTTTCTTTTTTCCTTAAACAAAAGAAAAATTATAAGAAAAATAAAATAAGTTTCTAAGCTAAAATTAGTTTCATATTATTTATAATTATTGTCTCTCCCCAGTGCCGGTGATTTTAAATTAAATAAAAAAAAAAAGAGTTTAACATTATTATTATATAACTAAAGTAAATAATTTATAAATTTAAAAAGCAGTAAATTAAACATAATTAAAAGAAAACTCTATTATTATATACAATCCTTTTTTAAAGAAATTAATTATAAAAAAATAATATATTAATTAATATGTACTACATACATTATAAATGGTATTTAAGATAAACAAAAAGAAAATTTATAAAAAATAGTTGTTTTATTATATTTTATTATTTAATTAGTTTTTCAATTTTCACTTTTTTTTTGGATTTTAAAGATTATATTATTAATTAATTATATATATATATATACAATATACGTACATATAATAATATAATATGATGAATAAACTGAATTATTTTGTTGGTAATGTTATTAAATAATAATGAATTAAAAATAAACAAACAAATTAAAACAAAATGATTCTTATATTATTATACAAAATTAATAAAAAAGAACTAAAAATTATGAAAATAAATATTTAGAAAAGTATACTTTGGTTGTCTGGGTTTAAAATTTGTAAGCCCTGTTTGAAATATGTATGTTTCACTTTTGAACAAGGTGAAAAATTTCAACTGGCGCCTGATTTTTAGAACCCTTTAGAAAGGAGCTGCTAAAACAAATTGATACTAAAATATTTGCATTAAAACTTTTTTTCATCTTCTTCATCTTTATATTATTCATGATTTTTTTTTTTATTTTACGAAAAAAATTAAATGTTACAGATACACGTCCGTCTTTTTTATATGTATTATTAATAAGGTGACTATATAAAATATTTCACATAATGCTGTCCAGTAGTCCGTATTCTCGTCGACAAGAGTGTGTTCTCGTCGACAATTTCTTCTTATACAACAAGTAAGTACAGCGAGCGACAGATCATTAATTTGGCAGAAACCAGATGAAAGTAAGGTTTCATTTTTTGTCAGTAACATTTTGGGAGAAAAAGCGCCAAAAAAGTAAGTATGCTTTCCTATATAGACACTACTGGTCTATTCAGAGGAAACCTAAATCAAAAAAGAAACAGTTTCACGTCGATTGCGAGCGACAGGCCATTAATTTGACAGAAACCTGAAGAAAGTAAGGGTTTATTTTTTGTTAGTAACCATCAAACTTAAAATTCTTTAAACATTTTTAAAAAGTAAGTATTCTTTTCTATATAGACACTAGTGGTCTATTCAGAGGAAACCTCAATCAATAAAGGAACAGTTTCACGTCGGTTGGTCGGATTTTTTCGGCGTTTCTTTTTTAATTTAAATATTTCATAAGATGATAACGCAGTACAAACGATAATGCAGTGCAGTATGTAATGTAATATCGTGGGTAATATAGTACACCACCGCTGGCAATATCAGTAATATCATAACTCACCATTGGTAATGCAGTATATCACAATCGGAATACATTTACTCCCCATGGATAATGTAGTACCTCACCACTAGTAATGTAGTTTAAAGATACTAATAAAACTCACCACTGATAAAGCAGGTTCACTTGGTAAAACAGTAGTTTTTATTTGGTACGCTTTTGGATCGATAATACAGTTTCATAAAATAACGGTTTTTGTGGTGTGTTTTAAAAACTCACCTCACCAAGTGTGGTGAGTTCTCAAAATTCGCCTAACCAAAAGTGGTGAGTTCTCAAAACTCACCTCACCAAAAGTGGTGAGTTCTCAAAACTCACCTCACCACGTGTGGTGAGTTATCAAAACTTACCTCACCAAGTGTGGTGAGTTATCAAAGCTTACCTCACCAGTGTGCTACGATATCAAAACTCACCTCACCAAGTGTGGTGAGTTCTCAAAACTCACCTCACCAAGTGTGGTGAGTTCTCAAAACTCACCTCACTAAGTGTGGTGAGTTCCTCAAATCCGTCAACCTAGTGGTGGTGAGTTCCTCAAATTCGCCAACCTAATGGTGGTGAGTTTCTCAAATACACACAGCTTATTTCATTATTTAAGAGAAAAAATTGGGAGAAAAAAATTCCTCTCCCTGGTATTTAATTCGGTCGCTCTTTTTTAATTTACTTTATTCGGTGGGGAAATTTGGCCCACCAAAGAAATAAACAAACTTCATTATTTACTAATTTTTTTATAAATTTAATTTTTATAAATAATTATGTATATATTTGTGGGAAATTTAAAAAAAAATCGTTCTCTTAAAAAATTCTCTAAATTTTCCCATTTTTAACAGTGAAAGAGAGTGTCTTGAGTAAAGAGAGTTAACAATGCCTACTGCTCTGTTAACTAACAGAGGAAACCGATGTTAAGTAAAAAGTAAGGTTACCAGAAAATATTTTTTACATGTAAACAATTAGGGCTACCAGACATAAAAAGGAAGTCCTAAGCTTGTTTTAAAATAAAATAAAAAAATTCAATCTTTTCGAAATAATAATAAATAAAAAACGAAAAAAATTGTAAATGCAATATACATACATATACATAAAAATAAAAATTATCCATCTCTGGCTACAGTAACTTAAAAGAGAAAATACAAACAACACTGCAAATCAAAATGATGCCGGATCTAAAATATTTTTAGAGCTTTTTTGGCACTTTTTCTTGTGCCAAAATAGCACAAGAAAAATTTCCGTTAATTACAAAAATAAAGTATGTAGTTAATTTTAGTAAAAATAATGTTTTTTCTTATAAGATTTTCAAAGTATAAAAGAAGGAAGTAATGTGTTGTTTAATTTTTTAATAATAATTATATATAATTATGTATTACATATTATAAAGCTTTAAAAACAGATAATTTTAATGATTTTTTTCTTATGAAAAAACGTATAGGGTACAAAATAAAAAATTCTTTCTAAGTTGTTCTTGTAAACAGAAAACGCTTAAATCTCGGTTTACACCACTAAATTAACAGCACTGTTTTTTATTCTCTTTATTTGCGTTTAATTTTTTTTTTTTTTTTGTTGGTGGATGGAGTTTGCAGCGAGCGAGCAAGTTAACTTTTTTTAGTTTAAAAGTGGTCGTCTTGGTTGATTGTCGTGTGCAATTTCTGTGCGGTTAACAATTATAGTGACATTCACTAAAAAAAATACTTTTTTTTGATAATTGTCATTGTGATTTCCTGGTACTATTTCTTTTTATAAATTTTTTGGTGAAGAAATATCTTAAAAAGAGTAATAAAAAAATGCATTTATTTTAAAAATAAAATTCAACAAATTTTGAGAAAACGAGAAAAAAAAACAACGGCCAAAGTTTTCATTAATAAAAGTGGTTAATAAAAAGTTAATGGAAGTTGAAATACATATAAATAAAACGATAAAAATTATAAAAAGTTAAAAAAAACGAAATTGAAAAAAGCAAATAATATAAAAAGATTAGAAGGAAAAAGCACAAGAAGAAGAAAATCATTGAAAAAAAGTAACAAAAAGGGCGAAAGAAGAAGCAAAAGCAGAGTGTAATGGGTGAGTTTGCAATTAAAAAAGAAACACAAAAAAACATGAAAATGTCAAAAGGAAAACAGAAGGTGAAGCAGAATTTTTGGGGTTGTTTGTTAATTTTATTATTTTTGCCAATTAGAAAAGAAGGATGACACAACAAATATAAACTAAGAAAATATATTTAACGACAGTAAATAGAACACGATAATGAAGGTGTTAATAAATATTTGCTTTTGCTATTTTTTGTGTTACCATTTTAATTAAATTTACATGTTTTTTGTTCATCTTTCGATTAAATAAACATGTGAAAGAGTGCGGTTTATTTGATTTTGTACACTCCCTATTTTGGTAGAGTAAAAAAAAACGCAAACACAAAAGAGAAACACACAGACGAAATAAGAGAGAAAATAATTTGTCATGCTCTCTTTCTGTTTTTTTTTGCATGTTTTGTTTGTGTTTGTTTCGAATTAGAATTTTTCTGCACATTGCAGAATTCGAGTCGAATTCGAAAAAGAATGATATCACCACCAGTGTGTGACCCGTACGCAAATAAATGTTGAACAATTTCACACCACTACCTCGGATTTTCAAATATAAATTGTTAAATGTAAATTTTTATTTTATTTTTTATTTAATATTATTTTTTATTCTATCAATTGTTTACTTTGGGGTTTTTTTGTTGTTTGTTTTTATACATAAATAAACATTAAATGAAATAAATCTTTATCTATTCAATATATAAATGAACATACGTCATCGTTGTCATTATTATGAAAACATCATGTGTGTATTTAATCTGTCAAGTTTTATTTTTCTTTTATGTTTTTTTTTTCATCTGGTTACTGAATGAACTTTGCTATTGTTGTTGTTGTCTAAACCAATTCATGTAAACAGTGATGCTAATTTATCAATTAATAATTTGTTTGCAGAAATAAAAAGTTTATTACCTATATTCAAATATAAATAATAAAAAATAAAAAGAATCAACTTTAATACAAAATAATTAATTAAGTTTTTAAATTTGTTATAAAAAAACTTATATTTTTACCTTTTATGAATGCAAAATCACATCAAACGATTTTTGATAAAAAGTGTTTCTTCCTTAAACCAGGAATGGATAAAAATAGAGGGAACGCACAAAAATATTGGTCCTACAACCAACTTAACGTATAACGATCCACTCAGAGTCACTTTTTTGTTCAATTTAATGAGATTTGGACATGTAATTATGTTTTTTTGCCCAGGGACTGATTCCATTGAAAATGTTTAAATGGAAAATATATAGGATACAAAAATCTACAAAAAGCTCTAAAAAAAAACACATTTCCCTTTTGTAGCGTTATTTTTCGTTACAAGACTTTGTAAAAAGTTATCATCACTGCACATTCTTTCCATGTGTTATTTACTGTTGTTGTTGTATCTGGTTGGTTACAGTCCAAAATGTTGCTTCTCAACAACTGTATATATGTTGGTTTTTACGATTCTTTACGTCTCTCATTATAATAAATACCAAACAACAAAATATATGCTACTTCCTTCCCCGTTTTTAAGCTTTTTTCGTTTTATTTTTGTAATGTCACAAAAAATGACAACGGGTGAATAAACGTCTGTCCGCGGCCTTTCGTTTCAGTAGTTTTTTTTTTCTCATGTCAGTACAAAAATCTATTAAAACTCAGGCAAACTTACATACTACATATGAGGAACGACTACCATTTGAATGGATAGATTGATGTATGTACGTAAATACATACATACATATGTGCGTCCGTCCATAGGTCGGTCGCTTGTTTGGTAAGCTTAGATGGTTGATTGGTTTGCTTTGGGGACTGACAGCGAACTTTTTGTTGGCTGGTTTAAGTTAAATTGAATGAATTGCTTACATCGTCGTAACATGCCTTCTTTTGTACAAAGTATTGTAATATATTTAACAACAATAAAAAAACTATTCGTACACTTGTTCGCATATGATGAATATGTCTTTAGCTTCGTATGCTTTGTCAGTCTATACACTGGTCCGTCCGTCCATTTGGATTGTCATCAACAACATCATCATCCTCACCGCCACAATTATTAATATTATTACTTGTATTTTTATTGTTTGTTGCATTTTTTTGTCATTATTTTTTGTATTTATTTAGTAGTAACGTGCCTTAATATGCTTTAAACAAATGGACGATATAGTCCGGTTTATTTACTGTATCTTCTTTTTTGCTTTTCCATTCATTCCTTTAAAGTTCGTCTAAAAATGCATTCATATCAGATACGTGAAAACAAATTGTAACATTATTTTGAATGTCTGAATAAATACCATAATCCTAAACCTAAACTTAATGAGTTATGGTACATAATCATTTAAATATCGACCAGTTCTTAAGGCAAAAATCGTCCTCTTTTTTAAAAAATGAAAGAATGGCTTATTGATTCTAATATAAATTTAAAAAATATTAAACAAAATATATTTTTTTATTCACTTATTTATTTACTATTTTAGAAATAAAAAAGAACCTTCTAATACTTCTACACTTTCAAAGAGTACCCGTAAAAAGTACCTTATTAACTTTTTTATATACAAATCATACGTATCTTTCAATGCACTATTCCAACAACAACAAAAACACACACTTGCATTTACAACAACATAAAGCAAGTGTATATACGGTATGTAAACGTGTCATGAATGAAAAGATTTTCAATTTGAAATATTTTTTCATTTTATTTCTTTTTTATTTATTGTAACTATAAAAGAGTACTTGTTGTTGATGAATGATGTATGATTTTGATGGGGTTTTCTCATCTTGACAAAACTTTTCTTATGTACTGTTATTTTATAATATAGTAATTTTTTTTTACCGTAAGTTTTACTAAAGAAAGCAAAAAATACAACAAAAGATATATAGAGACAATAAAAAAATGTTTGAATTGAAAATTGTGTTTACAATATAAATTATTCATTGAATATAACATTATCACGCATATGAAAGCGAAAGGATTCTCCTTGTTAATAATATTTTTTTATACTCAATTGTTATTTGACATTCTATTAGTATTTTAATTGCTTTTTGAATTTTTTTCTTATTTTGTCACAAGACAAAGTGTCATAAAATTTGACTAATTGTTAATATTTAGCATATTTCAGGAAAAAAAATAAGATTTTGCAAAGACAGTGTAACCGTTTAATTAAGTATAATTTTAATCATTTGATAAGTAATAGGAGTTTTGGGCCAGATCAGGCATGGAAAATTCAGTGTTTTAGTACTTTTTTCCATAATTTTTGTTATCAAAACATTTTCGATTACTCTGTCTAACTTATAAACTTTTGATAAGTAGTCCACATAGTAGATCACTATTCCATAGTCTAGTCTATAGTCTAGTCTATAGTCTAGTCTATAGTCTAGTCTATAGTCTAGTCTATAGTCTAGTCTATAGTCAGTCTATAGTCTAGTCTATAGTCTAGTCTATAGTCTAGTCTATAGTCTAGTCTAGTCTAGTCTATAGTCTAGTCTATAGTCTAGTCTATAGTCTAGTCTATAGTCTAGTCTATAGTCTAGTCTATAGTCTAGTCTATAGTCTAGTCTATAGTCTAGTCTATAGTCTAGTCTATAGTCTAGTCTATAGTCTAGTCTATAGTCTAGTCTATAGTCTAGTCCTATAGTCTAGTCTATAGTCTAGTCTATAGTCTAGTCTATAGTCTAGTCTATAGTCTAGTCTATAGTCTAGTCTATAGTCTAAGTCTATAGTCTAGTCTATAGTCTAGTCTATAGTTTAGTCTATAGTCTAGTCCTATAGTCTAGTCTATAGTACTAGTCTATAGTCCTAGTCTATAGTCTAGTCTATAGTCTAGTCTATAGTCTAGTCTATAGTCTAGTCTATAGTCTAGTCTATAGTCTAGTCTATAGTCTAGTCTATAGTCTAGTCCTATAGTCTAGTCTATAGTCTAGTCTATAGTCTAGTCTATAGTCTAGTCTAGTCTAGCTAGTCTAGTCCTCTAGTCTAGTCCTAGTAGTCTAGTCTATAGTCTAGTCTAGTCCTAGTCTAGTCTATAGTCCTAGTCATAGTCTAGTATTAGTCTGTCTATAGTCTAGTCTATAGTCTATAGTCTAGTCTATAGTCTAGTCTATAGTCTAGTCTATAGTCTAGTCTATAGACTAGTCTAGTCTATAGTCTAGTCTATAGTCTAGTCTACAGTCTAGTCTAGTCTATAGTCTAGTCTATAGTCTAGCGGAAAATAAGTTTAGTACTTCATAACTTAAAAGGTATAGTACTCTTCTTGTTATAATTTGATACTTTTTCAATATATATTTAAAAATCTTAATTTTCCATCTCCGATATATACTCTTAAATAATGCGACAATTCTTCTCTCATTGTAAAAATTTTGGAAATATGAATGATTAATGCATTTTTAATTGATTGATTAACATTATCAAAAATAATAAAGTAAAAATGACATCATTGCCTTTGACAATCGATAACACTTTAAACAATCTCTATAATATATATTTTGCTATTTAAAGTGTTTTATTGTTATTAAAAATAAAAAAAAATATAAATTATATGCCGGCCCTTGTTTTCCCATTTCTCACACCTATAATTTATATTGTTAAACACACAAATAGATGCCTTATGTCTTAAGAAGACATAATAATAATTGAATCTCTTTTGATTTAAAATTTAGTGTAATGTTTTTTTTAGGTTCTTTTTTCTCATTTTATACGTACATGGCCACAACTATGTAAACGTGCCTAAGTGTTTTATCCCCATTTTACAATTAACTCCTTAGTACATATTTTAATGGGTAGGTATTTTTAATTTGGGGGATAGAAAAGCACTTCAAAAGGAAAAGAAAGGGTGCCTGCCGCCTGCCTTCCCATAATATAGGTCATATACACTTGATGCTTCTCTATTTAATTGATAATCTATTTTTAGGATTCTTCAATCATTTAGTGTTTATATCTTTTTTTTTCGTGTGTTATTTTTCCTCTTGTTACTTTTGCTATTCGAAATATTTGGTATTTTCACATAAGTT